CCAGCCTTTTGCGGCCATATCTGCAGAAGCCCAGTCCTTCTCTACCCTGAAGTGAAGATTCTTCCACCTAAGTGGATTGATTAGTCTGCACTTATCTGTAGCAAACATCACCTTTGTGTACATACCCTCTCTTTCAATTTGTCAGAATGATTTCTGAACGCAACTCCATTTTCATATTCAGTCACTTTGGTCCCAACAGGAATGGTCCCCAAAATTCAAATATAAGATGCCTGGGAACATTTTTAACTTTGAAACTAAAATGTGGCCACGGTGCAATGGGTGTACACAAGTGAACTTGGGGGTGTGACATTAAATGGGAAGGAAGGAAGAGCCTTCTGCTTCTGGTGATGAAAGGTTTCTTCATCTATAAATTCCAAATGATCAACACTGCAGATTCATGTGTTCTTATCCAAAATGCTTTGGGCCAGATCTGGTTTGAAATCTGGAGTTTTTCAAACTTAAAAATAGCAATACCAGGCAGAGGACACATATTAAATAATGCCTCCAGCTGGGTCTCAGGCACCACCCCATCATGGAACACGGTAATATTTCACTAGCAAAATATATGAATGTTCTAAGTAGGATAAATAGAGACTATAAATAGCTTCATGTCAGTTCAGGTCAGTTTTGTTGCCAACTGAGTTAGTTCCAAACTTAAGCAAAAAACGTTTAGGTGTTCAGAGCTTTGTGAACTTTGGAATGGCAGATAAGGGACCATGCACACAGACAGGACCCAAAGAACCAGCGCTAGCCCTCCTGACCTTTCTGCATAAAGATACTTTTAAAGCATATAGGTGTGGCTGCTTTCCTGAATATTTCTGTCAGGTTCTGTTTGGGAAGCCCTGCATAGCAGAGGTCATTCGGCTTTAGTTATTCAAACTGTTGTTTAGAAAGCAAAATAAAAACCTACAAACTTAAAGCATTTCCCTTTGAAGCTGAGCACCATTATCTTTAAGAGCTAAAGTGAATTTTCACAAACCACTTGCACACACACAAAATGGTACGTAGTACACAGAGAAGCCAAACACCCAGGCACTGTGCGTATCAGTCTATTAAGTGCTTCTCAGACTTAATTGTCCATAAGATTCATCTGCGGATCTTGTTGAGATGCTGATTATGTCTCATTAGGTCTGGGTGGGGCAGAAATCCTACATTTCAAACAAGCTCCTGGATACAGCTCTGAGGACCAGCCTTTGAGTAGCAAGGCTGCAGCAGAAGTGCATTAAGTTTGGAAACAGATGAACCTGAGTAAGATCCTGACTCCACCACTTACAAGCTAAGTGACCCTGGGAAAATGGAAATAACAATGACACTTTTTCAAGCCCATAATGAGTGAGCCAGCAGCACAGTTCCTGGCACATAACAGACCCCGAATTCATCCTTTGCCAATCTGTGGTTGGCTGAATAACGGTCCCCCAAAGATGTCCACATACCAGTCCCCCAAGTCTATGAATATGTTACCTTACAAGGCAAAAGGGAATTTGCAGATGTGATAAAGTTAAGGATTTTGAGATGAAGAGATTATCCTGGGCTATCTGAACAGGCCAACATGATCACAAGAGTGTTGATAAGAGGGAAGCAGGAGGATAGGAGTAAGAGAATATGAGAGGGTGAATCAAAGGTCAGTGAGGCGAGAAGATGCTATGTTGCTGGCTTTGAAGACAGAGGAAGGGGCCTTGACCCAGGACATGTGCACAGCCTCTAGAAGCTGGAACCTCCCAGAAAGGATGCAGCCCTGCACACCCATTTTATACTCTGTCCTCCAGAACTATAAGAGAATAAATGTGTTGTTTTAGACCACTAAGTCTATAGTAATAGTTTACAGCAGCCATAGGAAACTAATACACCACCTATTGAAATAATGCTAATGCAGGCTTGCCTCACTTTACGTAACAGAGGACTTCCTGGGGCTGAATCAACTGAAACATCATGTAACAGCTGCCCCAGTGGAGGTCAGTAAACAAAGAACTCTTCAAGGAGACTTTGTATCAAGGGAAGAATTCCTCCCGCTTTATCTGTTTTGTTTGGTTATAGCCCTTGCTACCAAACAGGGACAGACACACCAACCCATTCCAAAGGCTAAAGGGACTCTCCTGCTCTCTAACTGTATCATCACATTCCAGCTTCTCATGTAATTGTCGAAACCTAATAAGGCTCCTGGGGACAGCATCAGTGGGTCGATGCCTCAACATCAGGAGGACTGAAGAAAGTCATCCTGGGCTCAAGAGTGAAGGATTGAAAATCAATGGTCTCAATATTTGTACAAGTCTTCATTTGCTACTTATAATGTGGTTTATCCCACAGAGACGCTTTATAAAATAAGAAAATACCAAGATAACCCAAAAGACGCCTGCAGAATGAAAACTGCATATGTTTCAAAACTAAATGGGCCTTGTCCTGCATTTCTCAGGCTTTTTCCTGCAGGCCTTGGCACCAGCGGCACTCCTTAACCATCCTGGGTTTTACACTTCCCTTACCAGACTCTAAGCTCCGTGGAAGGGCTGGTTTCTCATTTCTAACTATCGTATCCACAGCATCTGTAACTGACACTTAGTTTGCACACAATAAATGTTTGTAGATGAACGAATATTATGATGGATATTTATAACAGAAAAGCATATTCGGACTTTCATTAACAAAAGCATTACTTGTAAAGTTCTTTTTCTCCAATTTGAACTTAAAACTACTTGGCCCAAGATATTATTTATGGTGGAATTAAAAGTATGCTCTCCGATTTTATCTGCCTATTAATATATGCATTTGATAATTAACAATGTGCTAAGCAGTCAAAGCAAATAATTACTTTTCTAATGTCTGCCCCTGCATATGAGCTAAATGAGGGGGAAGCCACTAACTGCATATTAAAAAATGCAATTAAATGCAAAAAAAATGGTAACTAGATTCAAAATGTTTTGTTTAAACCTCAGACCACAATATTCAAAACAGTTACAATCCTTTCATTGGGTCAGTTACAATCCCACAAAACAGTCCAAATCTTCAGAATTCTGTTCGGGTCACAATGAATATAAAACAAGTTCTCAAAAGTTTGCTAGTTCACATTTTCGAGGTCTTCTGACCAACTGGTAGGGTGGATCATAAAAACTCTATCTTTTAATTTACTTATGTTCAGTACACTTTATTTAAGAAGCAGTGTCATCACACGGAATGCTTTTATTTTAAACCTTATTTTGAAATATGACTGAATACATTAACATAATTCAGAACAAGTCAGTAAACATCTACAAGAACATGTTATATAATTCTAGTGAGTCTCATAATATTCTATTTTCAAAGGAAAAAAAAAAAAACACTGGACAGAAAAGCAGTAAATTTGGAATCTGAGGGTTCTCCCTGCTGGCCATACTCCCTAGACTTCAAGGAGAGCCATTCTGAGCAGCCCCTTCTCCATCCTCACACGTTCACTCTGGGATTGTTCTAGATAGGTGGGTTACCAGACAAGTGAGTCCTGGAGGGGAGGAATTAATGTACCCAGGCTTCCTGCAGAGTGCCTTGGCTTCTAAAGACATTAGAAATCATAGCAGGACTCAAGAGTCTTGGTTTACAAGGTAACGTTAGCCAAAAACAAACACCCACAGCAACTAGAGTGTTTTCTGCAATGGTCTTTGGGTCATCTCTGTCCACTAAGCAGAGACCAAGACACAGACAAGAGTGGTCTTGGGTGCCTGCTCTGCCTCCCAGATGGGCAGGGGCGGTTTCCACTTTCTTATACTTGCTCACTGGGCTTTATCTTTGCCTGGGAGAGAAGGATATCAAAGGAAAGGGGAATAAATAAAGGAAGCGAGCTCTAAAAAGGACCTGTTATGTTCCCGTTCCTACTATCTCACTTTTCTTCAGGGGATCCATCCTGTTCTTCTGACCGCTTGGCTGCAGGGGAGCTGATCCCACACCCCGGCTTCATGGGGCTACGTGAGCTGGATGGGTGCTGGTCTGTAACTCTGATTGGACCACTAAGAATAAGGCACTTTCAGGGGCTTCCCTGGTGGCACAGTGGTTAAGAATCCGCCTGCCAATGCAGGAGACACGGGTTCGAGCCCTGGTCCGGGAAGATCCCACACGCCGCAGAGCAACTAAGCCCGTGGGCCACAGCTACTGAGCCTACACTCTAGAGCCCGTGAGCCACTACTACTGAGCCCGTGTGCCACAACTACTGAAGCCCGCGTGCCTAGAGCCCATGCTCCGCAACAAGAGAAGCCACGACAATGAAAAGCCTGCACGCTGCAATGAAGAGTAGCCCCCACTCGCCACAACTAGAGAAAGCCCGTGCACAGCAACAAAGACCCAATGCAGCCAAAAATAAATTAATTATTTTTTTTAAAAAAAGAATAAGGCACTTTCTTTCTGTTGTGGTTTCAGTAAGAAGGACATAAACCTAAAGCTCCCTGGAGCGACTACCTGGAAAGAGCCTGCATGAGAATAAATTCAACCCAGAGGAAAGCAAGGCTGAGCGAGGAAGAGACCAAGCCCTGACAGCAACCTCTGAGCCCCTGGATCCGGCCGCACCCGAAGCCCAAATCTGCCCTTGGACTTTACAGTCCCATAGGGTAACACAAACTTTAAAAAAAAAATTAATCTAGTTCGAGTTAGATTGTCATTTGAAACTGAAAAAGCACTAACAAATACAGGAGAAATAAAAGCACAAGAAGAAGGGAAACGAAAGGAGAAGATTACGTTTATGGATATGGGATCTGAAAGCAGTTCAAGTTTGCCCCCTGGAAATGAAGAAAGGTGACACATAGGAAACTGTTCCATTTTTCATGGTAAGCTCAGACCATAAGAACTGTAGCTCTGCCTAATTACTGTGATTAATCTTGCCAAATTCTAAAAATAAAATGAGCGTGTATTTTCTGATGTTTGATGATACTGCAACCGTCGTGAAGAGAAAGAATGAGCCGTTACTGAATAGAGTCTTCTTTTAAGACAAATGATTTTTTTCTGGCTGTGGGGAGAAGACAAGGTCACAATGACGACCCCAGTCTTACCGGGCATGGCATGGACAAGGTCCCCGCACAGAACAAAGAACTTGGGCTTGGGGCTCAGCTTGTTGATGGCCTGGACGGCCTGCTCAGTCAGACGGATCTCCTGCTGCCACTCGTCGCCGCCGCTGTCACAGTCCCCAGTGGACCAGGCCTTCATCAGTCCGAACTGTGGGTCTGCACCTTGGATGAAGTAGAACGGGCCTTTCCATTCCCTTTCCTTTTCTTTAATTAAAAAAAAAAAAAAAAAAAAAAAAAAAAAACGAATGAAAGGAAGGAAGGGAGGGAGGAAGGAAGAAATACTATAAGATCTGTCAGGGAAAGCACCCAGGTTACCCTGCGAGTGGATACAATATTTTTCTTAAATTAAGTAGGTCATTTTAATAAGCTGCTGTTCAAACACACCATTTTCCTGTCATCAGCCAGAGGATTTTGATTTATACTAATTATGCCTGGACCTGGTGATTCCCAAAGGCCAGGGAAAAACCACATGGGCCGTTAACAGCTATGCAACCAAGCTGTCTGTTTAAAAGCCAGATGGCCAAAATGGAGCACAGAGGCACCACGGCACGCTATATAGAGGCTATTAATGTTCAATAGTTTTTTAATTAGAATTAAAAATACCCCAAATTGAAAGCTGTCAGAAGTATTATGTTTAAATGACGAGGTGAAGCGCTTTCAAATCGTTTACGCCAGGCTTAATGGCACAATCTGCACTGTTTCTGGGGATGTGACAGAAAAACTTGGAGCTCAGAAGCTCCGGCTATCTGGTGGGAAAGGCGGGGCCAGAAATGAAATCTTAATATGGAAAAAAAAAATGATGCTAACATTTCCAAGGCAGCATGATGTGGGCATAGGTGAGGTGTGAGGCTGCAGGGGAGGGCTGGGGGGACGAGACTCTTTCATTCTTTATGTCCTTGGAAAGCACTTAGGTCACCTGAAGGTAAACTAGCAGGCTGCTCTTCCTATTGGTTCTGCCAAAGCTTCAAGGGCCACGGGTCTCCACCCTGATCTGCCCAAAACACTGCCACCAGTGTCTGCATTTACAGAGCTGCAATGCCCATCAGTGGGTGCGTGGGTTTCAAACTTTTCTTTGGCCACAGAATCTTTTCTTCAAACAAAACCGCAAGGGGCTGACCAGTGTTGAAAACACGTAGCCTCCTCTGCCTGAGTGGGCTCTGGGGACAGAGCAGTCTGAACACACCCACTCATCAGCCCAGATTTTATCCTCAGCCCAGAGAGGTGACGTGACTTGCCTCATGGACACCAGCCATCAGCTGCAGGGACAAAACTAACTACCCCACAACCTTGAGACTGTTTTCTTCTCTTTAACAAATGAACGTATTTTGCAGGTGAGCTGAATAAATGGCATTTCCTTTGGAAGTCATGAAGATACTAGAATTTCCCAAAAGCTCCTTGAAGTCATTTCACATCTTTGTGTTCACTTCACTCATTTATTCAGTATTTACCGAAAGCCTACTGTTTGCCGGGCCCCGTGCGAGGTGCTGATGACACACAAGTGGACCAAGACAGGTGAGGTCTTGGCTCTCGGGGGCTTAGTTCTCACAGAGGGAGAGAGAGCAAACAAGGAAATTCGCAGAGAACAGAGCCAAGGGTGCTAAGGGCTCTGCGAGGATTACGGCGAAAGCAATGGTTAATTTAAATTGGATGCACCGGGAAGGCCTCTCTGAGGTGGGGTCATTTAAGCTGAGATCTAGATGTAGCACATAAGCTTTTAAAATTCCACGACCACCCTCCCACCCACCATGCCTAGCTTACTATCATCTCAGAATGGATCTCAGGCTTTAGGCCTCCTTTCCTTAATTCCTCTTCCAGAACTTAAGAAGACAAGCATGTAAACAAACAAAATTACCTATCCGTACTTTCCAGAATCAATTATGTATGTGTGTTAACCTGCCAGTTCTTGAACTACAGCTTAAAATGCTAGCTGCTCAGTCAAATCACAACCTACCTAAACTCACCCTGAACAAGGACTGCAATGAAACCCTGTTGTGTGCATCTCAGTGCCAAGGACAGCGATCCAGCACTGCAACGGATCCGACTCATACTCACTGAGCCCTTACTACATGTGGCAGAAAGACTCCAAAACGCCCCCGCAAGACCCCTGAGTCCTGATACTCACATCCTGTGTGATCCCCTCCCCTCGAGTGTGGGCTGGACTGCTTCTAATAAGCAGAGTACAGTTATGGGATGTGCCTTCAGAGACTGGCTAGACCAAGATATGGAAACAACCTAAATGTTCCTCAGTGGATGAATGGATAAAGAAAAGGTGGTATATACATACAACAGATTTAAAAAAAGGAAATCCTGCCATTTGGGACAAAATGGATGAACCTGGAGACACTAAGCTACCTGCAATGAGCCGGTCGCAGACAGACAAATACTGCCTGATCCTCAGCTTGTATGCAGAATCCAAACAGTCAAACTCATAGAAGCAGACAGTAGAACGATGGTTTCCAGGGGCTGGGGGGTAGGTAGGGGAAATGGGGAGGGGAGGGTCAGAGTTTCAATTACGCAAGATAAGTGCTGGAGATCTACTGCACAGGATGGTACCTGTAGCTAACAATACTGTATCGGACACTTAAAATTTGCTAAGAAGGAAGATCTTAAGCGTTCCTATCACACACACCAGTAAAGGGGGCGGGAAGAAACTTCAGGAGGAGATGGACGTTTATGACAGATGTTGATGGCAGTGATGGTTTCACAGGTCTGTACTTATCCCCAAACTCACTGCGTTGTACACATTATATATGTACAGCATTTCATGTCATCATATCTCAATACAGTGGTTTTGAAAAAAGAGAGAGAGAAGGCTAAAAAAAAGACCCTGACTTTCACCTTGCTCACTCTCCCTCACTCTCTCTCGGAGCCCTTCTCCTGGAGGGAACAGGCTGTCATGATGAGTAGCCTCCTGGAAAGGCCAACACGGCAAGGAACTGAGGGAGGGCTCTGGCCAACAGCCTGTGAAGAACAGAGCCCCCCGCCCCCCCCCATGCAACAACCTGAAAGAAACCAAATTCTGCCAACAAGCATGGGAGTAAACTTGGAAGAGGATTCGCCCTAGGTGAGCTTTTGGATGAGACCACACCCCAGGTGCCACCTTGACGGAACCCTCATGAGGCCCTGCAGCAGAAGGACCCAGCTAGGCTGCACCCAGATGCCTGATGGAACTGGGAGATAGATAATGCACATTAGTTTTCTCAAGCTGCCAAGTTTCTGGGTCATTTGTTACACAGATCCGACTTAAAGATAAAGGGCCAGGAAGGAGTCAGCAAAACTTCTTCAAGAGCTCAAGGTTGGTGTCATGAAAAAAACTGAGATTCTGATTTGAGTTTTAAAGTTAATTGTTGGCACTGTTCATTTATTTTACTTTAATAATAACCATTTTGCACTGATGAATGCTTTTAGCTATGTTTCTGAGGCAGTTTGCAAAGCTGTTTAAACTGGCTAAATTAATCAGGGAGATGACTGTCACCCCAAAGTTGGGGCATAAATCAATCTGCTACAACAACCAGAATTTAGAAGGTTTTCTACAGTGAACCTTTTAACAGTTATAGTTGCCTATCACAAATAGTCATAGTCTCGAAAAGTTGTCCTTGGAGGTATTATAAATCTTTCATTTTTACTGGTTTACTAAGTAAAATCTCAGAAAGAATCTCAATTTTATGATGACAAGGTACAAAATAAACAGATTTGACCTAAAATGAATGACAGCTCCATGTCACTGTTCCATCTACCTTATCTATCTAATAAAGGCAACCTGATGACTCAGGGTTCTGCGTTCTCAAAAGCACCTGGAGCCTCTTAAAGTTCCTGCTACAGAAGTCTGTGGTGTTTGGCCTCATCTTAATTTTAATCAAGGCTGAATTTAAGATATTTGAGGCTGGTAAGACTTAGTACTAGATGGAGGGATCTTTTGTAAACTTATACCTCCCCCACCCCTCGGAAGGGCAGACTTTTATCTTAGGAAAGCGAATGCTTAAAAACATTTGCATTAGATTATTTCCCCGAAGTCCAGAATCACCCCAAGGACAGGGCATAGGCATTAGCTGACTGACACCTACAAGGGCCTGAGAATGCTCACGATGACGCCTCCCTTCCGGGGCAGAGCAAACGTCTGGCCCCAGCTTCTCTCTTTAGACTCGGGAAAGCACTGTGCTGGCAGCTCTAACTGTGGAAGTCTAGATGTGGTAAGGACCATCCCTAAAGCAACCTGATACACAATCAGGGCATTTAAAAACCACTTAAGGGTCTGGTGGCTTATTGCTTGTTGTTTTGTTTTGTTTTTAATTTTCCTAGTCAAAGAGCCTAAAGGTGAGACAGCCTGGTAAGTGACTGACAACCCATTTGGAGCAGAAGTACCTGGAAATGGAGGCTGAGGGAGAAGCTGAGGATGACGAGAGAGCAGCATTATGCAGGCCGTACTTGGGCACAGGGGGCTGGGCTGGGCCTCCACCTCCGTCCTCAAGGTGTGGCAACGGACGAGCAACATCACCATCACCTGCGAGCTTAGGAAGCCCGCCCCAGACCTACTGAGTCAGAAGCTGCACTTTAACAAATTCCCAGGTGATTTTATGCAAATCCAAGTGTGAGAAGTACTGGCATGCAACTAATCAAGGACCTGTTTAAATGTGTTTTATATCAAACAGATGTAAAGTGATTGTTTCCCTAAATTGAAACAACGTCTGGGAGGGGTTTTGCTGTTGTTAGTGGCTGTGTTTTTTGTTTCACTTTGTTTTGCATATTTTCCTATTCATTCTGACGTCCTGCCTATGTCCAGCTCAGGTATTTGGTCCTAAACATTTCTTGGTCTTATCCATTACTGTCTAATCAACTCCCTTTAAATCACCTTTCAAAATCAATTCAGTTTTCTTGGTAAGAATTCCAAGATTCCAGGTAAGAACTTACTCAGGGAATTCATTACTAATTAGTGAGTTCTAACACTTTAGATTTTCACATGACATCATGACATACAGTGAAAGCACCTGCTAGCAGCTGTGTGTGTGCAGCATACACAAATGTGTGTTTTCAAAAGCACAACAGAGAGGTAATTTTCCTTTGTCCAAATTTGATACAAGAATGCAGTCAGGGACTCTAATTGACAACTATGATAAGACCAAGGTCAAATTTTTGAGATAAACTAAGTATTTTGAATGAATGGATTAAAGAATAAAGTGAGTTGCTTAAATTAAGATCTCATTTCT